TGGGGGGAAAAAAAAAAAAAAAAAATAAGGTGGGGGGAAAAAAAAAAAAAAAAAGGGGGGGGGGGAAATTCGCTTTAATGCAAGTATTCCCCTCTTCACCTGTCTTGGCCCAGGTGTCTTACCTTATTCACCTGAGTCACAATGGCGTCCACCACCTCCCCCTTGAATGGACGGAAGACGATGGCTTTGTATTTGACGGGGTAAAGGACGAAGCCGCGTCCCGGCTGAATCACGCCGGCCCCGATGTTGTCGATGGTGGTTACGGCGATGACGAAGCCATACCTGGACGTCAAGAGGGGAATACTTGCATTAAAGCGAATTTCCCCCCCCCTTTTTTTTAAATTTCCCACCCAGGAATTTATTGGCTCTTTTCCTCCCCCTCCCCCCTGCGATTTTCAGATAAGAGAAAGCAGTTGGGTGCAGTGGTTAAAGCATCGGGCTAGAAAACAGGAAATTGGGAGTTCTAGTCCCTTCTTAGGTATGAAAGCCAGCTGGGTGACTTTTAGCCAATCACAAGTCCTGCCTTAAGTATGAAAACCAGCTGGATATGATTGGACCAATCACCAAGAGACTGGGAGTTCTAGTCCCGCCTTAGGCGTGAAAGCTGGCTGGGGGACTGAGGCAATCACCAGGAGATTGGGAGTTCTAGTCCCGCCTTAGGCATGAAAGCCAGCTGGGTGACTTTGAGCCAATCACAAGTCCTGCCTTAAGTATGAAAGCTGGCTGGGTGACTGAACCAATCACCAGGAGACTGGGAGTTCTAGTCCCTTCTTAGGCATGAAAGCCGGCTGGGTGACTTTGAGCCAATCACAAGTCCTGCCTTAAGCATGAAAACCAGCTGGATACGATTGGACCAATCACCAAGAGACTGGGAGTTCTAGTCCCACCTTAGGCGTGAAAGCTGGCTGGGGGACTGAGGCAATCACCAGGAGATTGGGAGTTCTAGTCCCGCTTTAGGCATGAAAGCCAGCTGGGTGACTTTGAGCCAATCACAATTCCTGCCTTAAGTATGAAAACCAGCTGGATATGATTGGACCAATCACCAAGAGACTTGGGAGTTCTAGTCCAGCATTAGGCATGAAAGCCAGATGGGTGATTTTGAGCCAATCACCAGGAGATTGGGAGTTCTAGTCCCACCTTAAGTATGAAAGTTGGCTGGGGGACTGAGCCAATCACCAGGAGATTGGGAGTGCTAGTCCCGCCTTAGGCATGAAAGCTTGCTGGATGACTTTGAGCCAATCACAAGTCCTGCCTTAAGTATGAAAACCAGCTGGATATGATTGGACCAATCACCAAGAGACTGGGAGTTCTAGTCCAGCATTAGACATGAAAGCCAGATGGGTGATTTTGAGCCAATCACCAGGAGATTGGGAATTCTAGTCCCGCCTTAAGTATGAAAGCTGGCTGGGGGACTGAGCCAACCACCAGGAGATTGGGAGTTCTATTCCTACCTTAGACATGAAAGCCAGCTGGGTGACTTTGGGCCAATCACCAGGAGACTGGGAGTTCTAGTCCTGCCTTGGCCATGAGTGCTAACTCTGCCCATCCATCTCTCTTTCTCAGTCCAACCCACCTCACAAGATTGTTGTTATTGTGGGGAATATAGGAGGAGAAAGGAGTGTTAACTACGTTTGACCCCTCGAGTTACTTATCAAGTAACAAAGGCAGGATTAAAAACCCTCAATAAATATCAAACAGATTCCAACATCTCGGAAAGCAATTAAGAAAATTGTTTGACGGATAAACTGCTTTTTCATTATTTTCACGCTCTCCGCTACTGGCACAGGCCACCCGTCTTCCCCGATAAAATAGACGCTCATTCCCTTTTTTTTCTTACTTGCCGGTGCAAGTCCCTTCCACCTCGGTGAAAAGCTTCTGCTTCACGGTGTTGAGAAGATTGGGGCCGAAGTAACGGGGGTGCAACAGGATTTCATGCTCCAAGGAGATCTAAACGTAAATATGCAGAGAGAGAAAGTCACTGCAGCCATGACGGACAGCTGGCAAACAGTCTTTCAAAGGCGTATTTAAGACCACAGACCTTATCTAGCTTGGAAAGCTGCCATGGAAATATTTTCCAAATGCAAGGGAAGACTTGGGCACAGAGTCTCTGAGATTCACGGACAGATCTTCACACTCCTCAAACAAGCGAACGAATTGTCTTCTGCAAAAGCCCCCTCCCCTTTCGCTCCTCTTTTATGTCCCATGGGAGGGGCCATTCACCGTCCACCTGTGGCTTTCCTCCCAACTCGACCCTGATTTCTGAGCTGTTCTTTTCTTCTGGCAGCTCTGCGCATGTGTACACTGGGAACAGGCTCCAGCTGTTCCTCTGCCTCACTGCTGTCTAGCTCCGAAGGCAGCTGATCATTGCCAGACGGCCCTGGCCCCCTTCTGCCTCCGACGCGGAGCCCTCATCCGAGCCTTCCCCAGACTCCAGGACTGGCCCATCTTCCTCCCCAACCGTCTCACTGTCCGAATCTGCTGCCAGCTTCCTTTCTTCCTTATCGCTGGGGGTTTTCAAGAGATTGGACAACCATTTGCCTGAAATGGTATAGGTTCTTCTGCTTAAACAGGGGGTTGGACTAGAAGACCTCTAAGGTCCCTTCCAACTCTTATTCTATTTTTTCCTTCCTTCCTTCCTCCTTCCCTCAAAATATTTTCTATCCTTCCGTCCTCAAAATATTTTTCTATCCTTCCTTCCTTTCTTCTTTCCTTCCTTCCTTCCTTCCCTTCCCATCACTGGGGGTTTTCAACAAGAGATTGGATAACCATTTGTCCCAAACAGTATAGGGTCTGCTTAAACAGGGGGTTGGACTAGAAGACCTCCAAGGTCCCTTCCAACTCCTTCCAACTCTTATTCTGCTATTTTTTTCCTTCCTTCCTTCCTCAAAATATTTTTCTATCCTTCCTTCCTTCCCTCCCCATCACTGGACATTTTCAACAAGAGATTGGATAACCATTTGTCCCAAAGTGTATAGGATCTCCTGCTTACACGGGATTGGACTAGAAGACCTCCAAGGTCCCTTCCATTCTGATTGATTGATTTTATTTTATTGGGACTCTCTTTGCTTTCTATTGTTTCTAGTCCTTCCATTTGCAAATCTATGTTGCGTTTTCTCCTTCCTCCTCTTTTCTTCTGTTCCACTGCAGGCGCTACCTAACACTTTTTAAATTATTGTCATCTTATTTATCATCTTAAATTATTGTTCAATTCCAACCTAACAACAAACCCCAACCTGTTTTTTTCCTACAGGGATTAAAGAAGAAGAAGGAGGAGAAGGAGAAGGAGAAGAAGAAGAAGAAGAGGAGGAGGAGGAGGAGGAGGAGGAGGAAGAGGAAGAGGAAGAAGAAGAAAGTGGTAGTAGTGGTAGTAGTGGTACCACCGTAGTAGTAGTACCGTAGTAGTAGTACCATAGTAGTAGTAGCGGAAGTTTTAGGTGTGAGGTTGTACCTTCTCCTACTACTACTACAGTACTACTACTACTACGGTACTACTACTACTACTACTACTACAATCCCTGAATCTTCCTTCTGCTACTACTCCAGCATCGTGGCTTATCCAATAAACTAGGATGAAAACAAACCACATACCCTTAGTTTTTTAATCCAAAAAGCGATTTCCGGGCCAGAAACAGCCCAGAATCTGGTGGCATTTTTTTAAAAAAGCAACAACCTTTATATAGTCTATATAATGTATTTGCATAGAAAAAGCTGAATTCACATTAACGCGTTGGTGAACCCGGGTAGGAAAAAAGCGCTTTGGGGCCGGCAGTAAAGACACGCGAGCTCGCAAACAGGCTTTTTCGGACCGCCTCCCGCCGTCTGAGCCGCCTGCACGCGTCCCGGCGCGTACACGCGGGACGCCCATCCCCACGACCCCCGTGTACTCACGTGATAAAACATCCTCCCGAGCAGGAGCGCTTCGCCACCGGATGGAACGTTGCGGCTTCCCCCGCGGGGGAAAATGTTGCAGCGTTCCTTTCCGCTGATTGGCTGAGACGCGCCGGGCGTTCCAAAGCGCCTTAAAGGAATAGGCGCCCCAATTCGCGAAAAGAGGAACAGGGGCGGAGCAGTCGTTGGCTCCACTGCGCAGGCGCGGCAGCCGTGTAACCCTCTGTGTGTCTATGTATTATATGTATATATGTATTATATGTATATATGTATTATATGTATTATATGTATATATGTATATATGTATATATGTATATATGTATTATATGTATATATGTATATATGTATTATATGTATATATGTATATATGTATTATATGTATATATGTATAATATGTATTATATGTATATATGTATTATATGTATATATGTATTATATGTATATATGTATTATATGTATATATGTATTATATGTATATATGTATTATATGT